CAGATGGCATCTTGGCGCATTGTGCTCTCTGCTTGGTACATGACTATCTGGGCTACTTCGCGATTTTGCAATTTGGATTTGTCATTTGTGTATCGATCTCGCTCATATTCGTTCCATCTCAGTCTAAATACAGCTATACTGACCGTATGACAGCGTATGTTGTATTCGGTGGAAGAAGGTACATTGTTTGCACTGGTGGGACTATGTTATAGGGGACAATGGGACTGGGAACTCGGAACTGGGACTCTGAGATGAGTTAGTCCTTCCACTCCCCCCGCCGGCCTATACAACATACGGTCATTATAGCTGTATTTGGGGTATCTCTCAGTCTAAAATTCTAAATACAGCTATAATGACCGTACGTTGTATTCGGTGGAAGAAAATACATTGTCCGTACTGGAGGGACTATGTTATAGGGGACAATGGGACTGGGAACTCGGAACTGGAACTCCGCGAAGAGTTGGTCCTTTTCACTCCCGCCGGTCTGAATTCAAGGTCCTCTGTGAAAGCTACCATCTTTCTACTATCTGTGATGTCGATTCCCCTTCTAGCCTCCTCAAAGTGTGAGACAATACCACGGTGCAGTCTCAGTTCGCTGACCTTCGGAGAACCAACTAATCCTCCTCCTCTGGGTCCTGGTACTTCCATCTCACTCTGAAGTCTGAACTGCTGTTGGGATCTCCTCTCTGTCCTGAGTATATCTTCATCAGTTATGCGGTCGATGTTGTAAGACCGCATGTTGTAGCTTCTTACCCATGTCAGGTGGAATCATTGATCCGGGGGAAGGGAAGGACTTGTTGGTGTGGACTGGCATCAACTTAGATGCATGGAATACGAGAAAAGGTTAACCGACCCCCCATTTTTCACCTCAATTTATAAGAAAACCATAAGGCCATCCCAAGCAAACTTCACACCAATCTATAGAGTGCACTTCTTACTAACACATTACAAAAAAAATACCAAAAAAAAAAAAAAAAAACACATAAAACAGCAACTCAAAGGATCATTCATCGTTACCCAGGGCCAAAAAGTGGGGGTCCCCGTTAACCACTTGTGTGGAATACAAGAAAAGGTTAACCGATAGGTAATCGGATGTGGGGGAACATCAATGCCATAGCATTGACGAACGATTGGTGTCTCCTTTCACATCAGAATGTCCCATGGGCTTCTGTACGTTTATTTGAGAAGCTTTTGTGATAGTCCTGAAACTTTGGAGGCTCTGCACAAACTGCCGCTAGGCGACGACCTTGAGATATGATCATTGAGCTGACCAGCCCCAGGTTCTGTTTGTCCGATCCAGCTTGGGTCTGTATTTCAACAGTGCAATGGTTGTACCGACTGGGCTAGGCCCGCTGGTATGGTCTTCTGTACGTAGGTAGGTAGCAGCTTTTGAGAAATACCTTCTTCTGGTACGAACTCTTTAGACTTCATTAAGACCAGATTGCCAACGGCAAAACGTGATGGCCTGATGTGTTTGTTTCCCTGCTCTAACATCTTAAAGACTTAAAGTGGGCATGCCTTACGTTCCCAGGGACTTTTTGTAGGTCTCTCTCATACTTCACGAAGTTTAAGGCAAAAAAACAAAACCCACGAGCTATGTGTCTATTCAACGGGCAACGGGAAAGTTTCAACTCCGTTGTACCCGTTGAATAGCCCCCGGGGCCCCATTGAATTCCCATTGAATGGTACAACGGGCCCTCCCCGTTGAATATTGTTCAACGGGGAGGGTGCATTGGGCCTCGGACACGACGCTGGACGCACGTGAACCAGAAAAAAAATCGTCCCGTTGAATCCCGTTGAATCCCGTTGAATCACCGTTGAATCCCGTTGGGAAAAACAAACGGACATCGTCCAAAAATTCCGGAAAAAAACTATGTTATGCAGAAAAATGAACTGAACAACTTTTGCCTCAGGGTCACATCGGAAATCTTCACCAAATTAAAAATAAAAAATAAAATATCAAAATATGTTATTTTTTTATTTTTTTACGTGTGTGTGTGTGCGTGTGTGTGTGTGCGTGTGTGTGTGTGCGTGTGTGTGTGTGTGCGTGTGTGTGTGTGTTTGTGTGTGTGATCGGGTGGGGGTGGGGGGGGCGACCCATCCCCTACCAATCAATCAATCAATCAATCAAAAGAGAAAAAAAAAGTTTAAAAAAAAAAGGGGAAAACCCGCTTTTCTCGTTATTTTTACTTTTCCTCTTTTTTTTTGATTGATTGATTGATTGATTGATTGACTGGTGGGGGATGGGGCG